TATTAACAATAAATAATGAATAGTTTATTAACTAGTTAGATTTTTGTAGTGATTAATTAATATCTTTTCCAAGATCTCAATGTTGTTTTATTTATAATAAATATTTTCTACTAATAAATATTACATTAATAATAATTATATGAAAATTATAAAAATAATAATATTAAAAATTTATCTAATTAATTTATATATAAAAATTATAAAAAATATAGAGTTTATAATATTTTTAGAGTTTTTAAAAATTATAAAAATTATAAAAATTTTCAATCATAACAATACTCCAGTGAGCTTCAATCTTTAGTATTATTTTATCAAAGATATAGTAAATTTTACTAATTATGCTTATAAATACTATTACTTTGATGAATACCAATTGGTCCAGAGATATGCTTATAATATTTGCAATAAATTTTTAATATATAATTAATATATCTTTTTTACAATATTTCTTCTAATATTTATTAATATTAATATATTTTTCTAAGTATTAATAAGTATTAAGAGATGTATATCAAAGTGTTTTTGCATAAGCTTCAAAATTATTTCTTGATATGCTGGTAAATAAATGATATATATTCTCAGATCATAATCTTTATCTGTTAGATAAAATATGTAATTGATAAAATTAAACTTGTTAGTTACTTAATTAATATTATAAGTTATATATAGTTGTGCTTTATACTTTGTATTATTTAATAGATTAACTTTTTTTCTGAGTTTAAGTTTTAGAATTCAATTCATATATTAAGTATATAACTGAATTATTGAAGACTTTTATATCTTAGTCACAATATTAATTTTGATAAATTCTTCGTCTGTAAATACAAAATCTGAATTAATATTATATATTTTAAGAAGCTCTTCAGAACTTTATGATATCTGTTCATATTGATACTTATATTTATTGTTTGACTTGTATTAAATATTAAGTAGACAATTGAAAAGCTAATGCTTTTAATATTTGTAATAATGTTATAAAGTTCATAATATTCTCTTGTAATTTTATAAGTTATATTGTTACTGTTTTAATATGACTTTAGGTTCTGTCACGAGAGTACATGTGATAGAGTCAGGTGGGAGAGTTGACATATTAAATAACTTAAAGTTGGAAGAGTTTACTAAGTTATCTAAAGATAGGTAACATATGTTCGTTTTGTTGGTCAGCTAGAATGAGATCAGAAAGATTCAAAGGTAATAATATATTTATTATAAATCAATTTATTATAAGTCGAATGTTTCTTTTTAATTTTAGTTTATAAACAAGTAAAATATAATCTTCTTTTATTAATTCAATATTATTATTGACTTCGCAATATAGATGAGAGATCAAATATAAGAATGTATAAGATAATATAACTTCGCAGTAGTGACAAGAGATTATAAAACAAATACAAAAATAACTTCGCAATTAAGATGAGAGGTTATAAAAAGATTATCTAAAAGATTATTAAAAGAATAAAAACTAAACTTGAGTTTTTAACTAATTGAACTAATTATTTTTCTAAGCTAAGATACAAGCTGTATTTATAAGTATTTGATAATTATAAAATAATTATTTGGAATGATTATTCGAAGCATTTGGAATGATTGTTTGTAATGATCATTTGCAATGATCATTTAGAGCGCTTGAAATGATCGGTTGGAATGATCATTTGGAATGATCATTCGAAGTGACCATGTGAAGCGATCATGTGAGATGATCATGTGAAGCAATCATGTGAGATGATCGTTTGTGATTATAAAAATATCTAATCACAACAATATTAAGATAAATCTTACAGATATTAATATTATGATTCTTAATTTCTTTTAACAGTGAGATAATAAAATTGATAATAATAATTTCTAAATTTTTAATATTTAAGTATCATCAAAAATCTTGAATTTCATGCTTACTAAAAGTTAGCATACAAATTTAATATAATTATCATAATGTTTAAATAGTTTTTGGCTTGCAACTAATTTTTAAAAGTAAAAATACTTGGATAAATACTTTGAAATATCAAATTATTTATGTCATAGATGATTTTTTAATTCTATTACAATAAAATACAAGTATATTTTAATTTTTTCTCATAATTCATTTGATATTTCAATGCAGAAATTTGGATGTAGATGAAAATGTTTATAATAAATATTTATTTTTGCAATATTAAAAATCAAATTAATTCACATTATAACTTTTCCTTTGCAATCATAATGTATTTGTTATTTTTAGTTGAAATCTTTATAATCTTTATATTATATCTCTTCAACTGATAACAAGTATAATAAAATTTGCTAATTATATCTCTGAATTTTTTTGACATTTTTGCTTTTAAAAAGTTACAATAATAGTATTAAGTTAGCAATAATTTAAGAAGTATCTTATAATGAAATGATGTTTACTTTTATGAATAATTATCTCTACTTTTAATTTTAACTATTATAAGATTAGCTATTTCTTTTACCATTTTGCTTTGAGTTATAGTAATATTCATATTTACTAATAAGTAAGTTCAGTAAACTACATTAGCTACTTTATTAATTTGTAATTCAATTATCAGTTCTTGAATTTTATTTTTAATGAAATCATTCACATCAAGATAGTTGATTTCAATATATATGTATTCTGTTTTAGAGTATTCACCTATAACTGTTTCATTATGTTTCTTCTCTTCAGATTCTTTGGATATTTTTTTTATTATATGGGTGAATATATTAAAATCTTTATTTAAAATATTAGAAGAAACTTTCAAATTCTTTTGTTAACTTAATTTATAATTAATTATTGAATATATAATTCTACTTGATATTTTATTTTCTTTACTCTTTGATTTATGATTCTTTTTGCATTTTTTACATATTTTATAATGTTTAATATTTTAAATGAATTGGTTATTTGATCATTTGATTTTGTATTTATTGCAGAAATTCATTAGTTATAATTTTATTAGTAATTAATAAGTAAATACTTAAATATACAATTTTTTAACTTCAATTTTTGAAGATTTTTATAGTTTCAATCTATGAAAGAGTAATATATCTTAGAAAATACTGTAAAAAGAAGAAAATACTTCAAAAAGGTATTATCCAGTAATACTTTTAGCAATCACATTTTCTGAAATAATCTTTGCTATATATCTTAAATTATGTATTTAGTTTAATATTTCATGTAGCTTAATTAAAAATGAAAAAGTAAAATGATATTAAAGAAAAAGATATATTCAATTTATTTAATATTATAATTTGAAATATATTCTTTGAGTTTATAATTGGTAAAAAAATCTATTATCAAGCATGCGATCAGTAAAAATTAGATTGAACAAGTGATATAATATTATCAGAAAATTATTTATGATATTTACTAAATTATCTGAAAATTACCTGAAAATTATCTAAAGACTATTTAAGTATATCTGTGAATATTTAAATAAACTCTAATATTATTAGATTGATTGTTAGTTTTTTACTAATAGAAGATTATTATATTTATTTATTCATAATTAATCATAGTCACATTCTATATAATGTGTTAATCTTTACTTTTGCAATCTTTTCTTAAATTACTTAATTAATTTTATAAGTGATGTATACAGAATATATGTATTTCATAATATAATAATTTTTATTTTTTTTATAATTTTTGTATATATAATGTAAATTCTACTAATTAACTACTTTTTTAATAAAGATTATTTATATTTAAATTTATCTTTTTTATTGATTAATAATAAATAATCAATATTTTGTAATATATGATTATTTGCTAGAATTTTTCTTTAAATTGCTAACATAGTTAAAAATTAGTTTGTGAAAGAGATTAAAAAAAATATAAAAAAGATTGATTTAAATCATGTTAATCTTCTATTTTAATAAATAAAAAATATAGAGTGAGAAGAGAGAACATTCTTATGATTATTAAAAGAACATACTTGAAAATATAAATATCAGTTAATCTCTTTTTAACCAAAATTTTAGATAATTTTTTTCAACCAATAGTTAATCAGAATCATTTTTCTGGTTCTTACTAAATTCTGAAAAAGATTATACAGTATAATAGTTAGTTATTACTAGGATCAGAATTAGTTTTGACTTGAGCTTGGCTGTTACCTGATTTTAAATAAACATAATAATACAGACATCTGAAAAAAGAGAGAGATACAATTAGATTGCAGAAACTTCTAGTTGTGTGCTGCATTACATATTGCTTGATTACAGAGAGAAGGATAAATGTAAAAGTAATTAATACAATAAAAGATGAATAATTTAAAAGAATTATACTTTTTTTTGCATCTTTTTCGATTTCAAATATTATCTTTTTTGCTTTTTGATTAATATCAACCAAAACTATATGTCCTCTCATTATATATTATTCAAATTTTTCTTTTATCTGTTCTTTGCTGATTTCAAATATACTTACATGTTTGTTTGAAAGTGACAGTGACAAAAAGAAATATTTAATTTCTAAAAAAAGTAGATTCAGTTTGAATGATTGGTTTTTGGTTTCCTTCTTGAATTTTTAACTCTATTAGAAACATATTTTGCTTTTGACAAACACTTATTTTTGGGTTGACTTCTTGTAAGACTAATTCTAATTAATAATTAATGCTTTATCTTAAATTTTTTTCTGATTATCACTTTATTTCTGTGTCACAAAATCTTTGATCGTTACGATTGCGAGTCGAAGAATCCGGAGATGATCGGCAATATCACATGACCTGAAAAAGCGGGGGTCGTCCTGGTGGATTCTGTAAAATCTTATATTCCAAGACAAACAAATTGTAAGTCATGTGATATGGTGACATTAATCCGAATTTACTTAAATTAATTCGGATTGCATTATAATTTACTATATACCTGGATAATTGTTCATTTTGACATTAACATATTGTCACATGATCAATTACGTATTTTACGCCCAATACATCTATAAAAACATGACGCGCGTTTCTCAACCTAAACTTATTTTCTATCTTTCACTCTGAACGATAGAATTAATTCTAAACCAAAATTTAACAATGACGAAACAAAAAACTTACCTGAACGGTTGTGTAGTAGCCTTCTCCGGTAGTTTCAAGGCGGGTACTCACACTCACCTCAGTGAACTGGTACGAGAAAACGGTGGAGAAGTAGTCGCTAGCGTGAACAAGACAACTACTCACCTGGTGGCTACCAAGGATGACTTTAACAAACCTAGCTATAAAGTAAAGAATGCTCAGAAACACGGTGACGGAACGCATATAGTGACTTGGGACTGGGTGAGACAATCTATAGAAAGTAAATCCAAACTTGCAGAATCAGAATATTCTCCGGGTGATGGTAACAGTAACGATTCAACGGCGGCGGCAGCAGCAGAAAATAATACTTCAAACTCGACTGATGTCGAAATGAAGGACGCTGAAAAGAATAAAACAGAAATCACTAAAACTCAGATGAATGCAAAAGAAGCTGAACCAGAGCAGACTGTTCGTCAACTTCGTAAAAGAACACCTGTTTATTATGGCTCGAAAGCGAACAAAGCTGCTGCTGCTTCAGTCGCTGACAATAACGGCACAACAAACAAAAATGATAACGAGGGTGGAACAGACAAAGAATCTGATGCGGAAAAAGTGGTATCAATTAAAAAACGTGGTCGCAAGGCCAAAACAATCTCAAATGATAATAATAATGTCACAGAGGTTAATAAGACAGATCATTCATCGGATGAGAAAACAAGCAAAGGTGATGAGAAAATAACACGTAAACGTGGTCAAAAGGCCAAAAAGCCACCCAATACCAATAATAAGGCTACTTCTGAAGCAAAAACCAACCAAGAACCAGAGCATAAAACCGCGACAACAACTCGCAAACGTGCGCGAAAGGTTAATAATAATTCATCGGATGATAATTATCCCATTGTGCAGATTGAATCAATTGATTCTTCCAATGAAACGAATAATGCACGAGATGACGCAAAAGATGACGATTCTAATACCAAGAAGGCTAAATCAACTACAAAGCGAAGACCAAATGGCAAAAACTCTGTTCATAATAAAGAAACAGAAACTGAGTCTGATGAATTATTAGATGAAATTGCAAACAAAGGAGACACGAAAGATAATTTATCTAAAAATGATACTGAACCTCAACCTGTCAAGTCAGCTCCAAAACGAGATCGAAAGCTTGTAAATCCCCCAAATGATAATAAAAAACTCGATGAAGAAGTTACACCAGCCAGAAGAGGACGACGCAATGTGGTCGCCACCTCTAGATCTAATAAATAAATTTAGTTAATCACACAATCACCACTACCTCTATTTTCGGGTGCTAATAGTAAATTAGGAGATGTAATAATTATCTTTAAATAAATCCTTATGTCAATTATGTTATAAAAGTCGATGTCGTGCTTTTGATATTGATAGTATTCTCCTGCGATCGGAAGAAAAATTCTAGCAATATAATGCTCATAGTTTATATACTCATTTTGAAGCTAACAATCGAAAGTTTATTAAGAATAAATATATTTGTAACTGTTATTTGTAATCACCGCATTTTAATTGGCCAATTAGGATCTGAGTTAATTAAGATTCTCGGTTAATATTGAAATTGTTACATAGTTGATTGATCCATTTTCTAATTAGTGCAAGTTTAATACTAATTAATTTTTTCTATACAGAAGATCACAATCGTATTTTTTAATTTTTTTACTTATTTAAAGATGTCAATCACGTGACTTGTTTCATTTTTGGTTCCAAAATTTAAATAGATCAAAAAAAGTTTATAAATAGTACTTGAAAAAAATGCTAAATTATATGATCTTTGATACAAGAAAATAAAAATATAAAAAACAAATATTTAAAATAAAAATATCTATCAAAATCTCTTCAGAAATATTTTGATAAAATTTTAGTAAAACTTTGATTATAACTAATTTCAAAACTTAACAGAATTTCAGTATTTTATTTATCAATAATTTATTATAATTTTGATAAAGTTTTAATAACTATTAAGAAATTTTAGCAAGTATCCTTAGTTTGAAGTACTAATAAAAAAAGTTGAAAAGCAATTTTATATATAATTTTATTTTTAATCTAATTTTAATTTAAATAATAAAATAATTTTAATATAATATATCACACTTAGTTATATCAAATATTTTAAAAAATTTAATAGTGATATAGTATATTAATATTCCAGTAATTATCTCTTGAAATAATTTTCTAACTTCAATATTAGTCAATTTTAAAATTTAGGTTGAAAAAATTTGTTGCTGAATTATTTATCCAAGTAGAATTTTGATAATATAAAGTTATTTTTTTACAAAGAGAGCATTACCAAAATCTATTACTATTTTTGTGTAATTTAAGTTATTTACACATTATTTATGTATTTTTATTAACTTAAAAATGAAAGAGACTAAGTTTTTATATTGAAAGAAACTAAAAACTATTACTAAAAATAAATAATGTATATTTATATTGTAACTAAAAATAATATCTCAATTAATTGTAACTTACAGTATCTAATTAGAGAATTGTAATTAATTATAACAGTCAATCAGAGAATTGTGATCAAGTTATAACTAATTGCAAGTTTATTTTTAATTGTAACAAGTTAAAATAATATTTAATAACTTTATTAAACTTTACTAAGTTTCTTTATAATTTAAAAGATAATAATTCAAGACAATAAGTCTTTTAAGTGACTGTCTTTCAAGTCAAATACAATAATTAATTATAAGTAATATTGTTGTATAATGATCCTTCGTCATAATATTTCATATTATTGAATTATATATATTTCATATCTTATTGAATAAAGATCAAATCACATGAAATAAGCAAACAAGTGAACAAACAAATAAATAACTAAATGAATGAGCGAATAAATATTGGACCAATAAAATTTAAGTAATATAACAAATATGAATTTGTATAATCTAAAAATTATATCTTGAATTTGTATAAAAGCAACATATATTATAGTTATTAGAATTAGATATGAACAAGTTCTTTTAGATAGTA